CAACTTTCCCGAAACAACATTTTATAGCTTCATTGTTTCTCACACCGATTTGATCAAAATCAAAAATGGATTCAAGCAGTCGTTACATAATCAAAAAATTAAGTAGACTTTTACTATGAGGGGATAAAATATAATTTGTGCAATATTAATGGTATACTTATATAAAGTTTTTTTCGTATGCTCGCTATTTAAACGCATGTATTTGTATTTACTAGTTGTTTACGATATTCTCCGATGGTAGCAGCACCGACGGAGAATGCACCAAGCCTATATGAACGCTCAATTTGTAGATATTAGTTTAGTTTTAATCATCTGCTGATGATGCTAACATGGTTAGCAAACCGCGCGACAAATAGAATAAATTAATTTTGTTTCTTCCAGCGTTACGTAAACTCCTGGTGATTGAAATATGTCCATTTTAACCGGACTAGTATCGGAATTTACCAATCTCGCGTTATCGGTTCGTAATTTTTAAATTCTCTCCAATTTAATCGAGCACCGTTCGTTTCGAATGTTTACGTTTATTTCGTCCGGCAAAATAATATTGCTAGTAAAATCGTAGGAAATCCAATCCCACGGAGATTAGCGCACTATATTGAGTAAGCGAACCATTTTATTTGGATTCCCATCAGTATTAGTGGTACGATAAATCATTTTCGTATTGAAAAGCTTCTCAATAGACGGTAAATTATTTAAATTTTTTTATTGATTCATTCGGTGATGAACATTATTTATTTGGTATTGATGAGAAGCATTTTTTCCGGTTTTAAGGAGTTGAAGAATATATATGTAGATGAATGTTTTCCAATCCCCTTTCTTGAGTCATCAAGGAAAATCTTTGATTTGTCTTAGACCGTTGGAGGATTCTCAATCCAGGTTAAGGATGCAGTCTTTCAAGTTCTTGAGTTCCGCTTTAAATCGGTTTCCACTTGGAAAGCAGAACGGTTCTGGTCCAGTTAGTGGAGTGTTCGCTCCTTTCCTAGCTAGATCATTTGCTTTTTCATTGCCTTCTATCCCTTGGTGAGCAGGCACCCAGAGTAGGAGGACTTTATTTTCTTTGCCTAATTTGCTCAGCTTCTCTATTGTTTGTCCCTTTCCTACGTCTGCACCCAGTCTCAAATCCCAGTGCCCGGAACCAGCTAGTACAAGTCCTCGATAGAATGGGAGCATAATTTCTCAGGTTCTTCGTATTTCTTTCACAAATAGAAAGGGTGTTCCATAGCTTCGCAGAGACGTATTATTATGTCCTGCTCTTTCAGGATTTTTAACGCAGAGTCTGCAGCAAAGACTTCCCTACTACAGGCTGAGCTTGTAACAGGTAAGCTTGTTGCAAGGAGATTAATAATACTATTAAATGTAATTACAAAGTAGAATATCGGATATCAATATCTTTCTGGGCCAGTCGATAACGCATAAATTTACGCCAAGCGATAAAAAAATATTTTTTCGATTTAACTGTAAGCAAGTACTAAAATACAGACTATTTAGCCTTAATAAATAAATTAAAAATAATGTACATATATTTCATATCAATTAAACTTTTAGTTACGTAATCGAAGGCGCGATTTTTAAATTCATTGTTGCCAACCATATGGACATATTCGGCGCCGTGCTGACTAACTGGAATTTAAATTTCCCGCTGGGGATTCAGGTGGTAGCTCTGCTGTAAAAAATGTCAAGTTGCCGCTTTTATTTATTTATTTCCTGGCATTATCATTCGTTTTGACACTTCAGTTTTGTATTACGAGTTTTTGGTTTAAATAAATAGTGTTGTGATACTTTAAGCTTGAAAATGTTTATCAGTAGACCTTGCAGTCAAACATTGTTCTTTTTAGAACCTAGAAAGTGTACAAGAAAACTTAATAGTCGTAAAAAACTCATCGCAACTTTATTACAATATTTTGAACGGGAAAGCGGTAGTAATGTCCCTTTATATCCCTTAAGTGCTGTTAAGAAGGTGAGTTTTGTTGATGTAAATAATAAGTGTTTATATATTTATAATTAATTTATTTTTATTTCGGAAAATATTTTCATTAAAAGGAAATATATTAAAGTGGGCAACGCTGTGCCGGTCAAGCTTAATCACGTGACTAAAGGTTTATTTGGTGTTAACTTATAATTAATTTATACATAATATACTTGTAAAACTTGGAAAATAAGTTGGTTATAATAATGGTTTTATAATTCGGAAACTCTCTATTTATTTATCTAGCAATGCTAGAACACTCTATTAATTTGAAAGTCGATTAGAGAAAATAGTATGATTCATTGGCAAGCGATGTAAATATTTATGATCAGGTAAAAATGTGATGTAAGAGGAGGCTCAGCTTGCCGGCGCGCGGCAGGTCAATCAGTAGTAGACGGGACGGCCGGCTGTTAAGTAGTGTTATGTTGTGTTTTGTCACAGAGCTGACATTTGGAGGTTGCGAGTCTTTGGACTAAGGTTGAGAGTCCTTTTGACTCTTAAGGGTACGAGTATTTTGACTATTAGGATGCGAGTCTTTTTGACAATTAAGGATTCGAGTCTTTTGACTATTAGGATGCGAGTCTTTAAGCTTATTAGGATGTGAGTATTTAAGACTATTAAGGATGCGAGTCTTTAAACTTATTAGGATGCGAGTATTTAAGACTATTAAGGATGCGAGTCTTTTGACTATTAGGAAGCGAGTCTCTATGACTATTAAGGATGCGAAGGATGCGAGTCTTTTGAGTACTAGGATGCGAGTCTTTATGACTATTAAGGATGCGAGTCTTTTTGACTATTAGGGATGCGAATCTGTTTAGCTGCAGATTTGCGTCCGGGGAAAGCCCCTATACTTATTTCAGGTGACACCAGCTAGTTGTTGAAGATTAACCAATAGATCCGAATAATATTTGAATTAGATGGAAGATATGGAATGGGATATATTGAATAGAATACCAGTGGCTAGGGGGCGGAGTACTCCCGGGTGAGTTTTACTATTTAACTGTCAATTTTATCCAGATCAGTAAATGTTTGTTTTGTTATTTTCATGTACAATGAGAGTCTGCTTGCCAATGACCAACTAAATGGATATTTGAGGTGAATTTGCATTGTGAGACCCGGTTGAGTAAGCCCCAGAAATAAGCGATTTTACATACCATGCTTGATAAAATAGGTTAATAAAATAATCTATTTTTTTATTTATTTGTTCGTTTTAATTAAAACAACCCAGTTGACTACAAAGAATTGCTTTTTATTTTTTTGTTACATTGCATCACAGTGCATGTAGCAAAAAATAAATTCGAAAATGTAATAAAGGTAATATAAATATTATTCCATTGTATGTTTGTTGGAGTATTAACTATTGGTTTTTATTTTCAAAACAATAACATGAAAAGGTCGAAACGCAAATTGTATAGATTAAATTGAATAAAAATGTTTTCATAAATGTTTTTTCTTTAATTTTTTTTTGGTAGATACACAAAATTATATAGAGCATTTTATAGATAGATTTTCAGAACTTTACTGAAAAATATTTTAAGTAGTCTTAAATATCATCTATATACGGGGTGTACAGGGTGGTCGAAATTGGTCTGTTTTAACAGAGAAAACCTATTTCCTGTCAAGATAGAGCAAAACCGACGTAGCTGTCATGGGATCGATTTCTGAGACACTTTTAATGGCGCAAACCGCGTGTTGATATTTTCACTGCTAACTGAGATACGGAGTCTTTTTGATTTTTTTACCATTTGGAAAAATGCCCATAACTTTTGTATTTCGTGGAATAATAAAATTCTGGAAAAACTTTCTTAAGGCACTTTTTTAAGCACAATCCAGTGGCGTAGTCAGTTTTTCTCTAGAGTTGCTCTTTTTGTCAGAAATAATAAAAAAATATAATATTTTAAATGGAAACCATAGTTGGCTATGAACTTAAAAAAAATCCTGGCCTTTAATCCTTTCCAACGATATAAAGTTATGGGTATTTATTTCTAAGAATAAGGGAAAATATTAGGTTTTCTATCTTTATATCGAAGAGGGCCTTGATTTTGTATTGACCTAGTTGCCTAATTATTTTTTATCACAATTTAATATTCTATAGTATTATTTATCTGCATAATTAAAAACTTTTGAAAAGGTAAATGAACATTCTATATTAGTATTACAAATTACAATTAATTATTATAATTAAATGGAGAATTTAGAGAGAATTGGATTGGAACAAGGGGACCCATATCTTAGCCTGCTAGGTCCTATGATTTAACTTCTTTCGCCTTTTTTATGGAGGAAATTAAAAGACCTAATATATAAAAACCATTGGGATGAGAGAAGAATTACAGAAGGCCACTAAGCAAGCTTTTGGACTTATTACACCAATTCGCCTAATAAGTCGCTGTAACTCTGTGCGTAAAAGATGTTTATTGTGTATTTAACAAGCAGGTGCTCAGTTTGAACCTCTTTAATGCTTTTTTTAGAAAACTATATACGTCACTCAAAAAATACGTTTTTTTAGTTTTGTTCTTTGTTTATAGGATCGATTTCAGTTGTAATTACTAATACCAATATAGAATGTTAATTTACCTTTTCAAAGGTCTTTAAATATGCAGATAAGTAATAATATAAAATATAAAATTGTAAAAAAATAATTAGGTAAATAGGTCAACACAAAATCAAGGCCCGCTTCGATATAAAGATGAAAAACCTAATATTTCTCTCCTTCTTAGAAATAAATACCCATAACTTTATACCGTTGGAAAGGATTAAATGCCAGCATTTTTTAAGTTCATAGCCAACTATGATTTCCATTTAAAAAATTATATTTTTTATTATTTCTAACAAAAAGAGCAAGCATAGAAAAAAACTGAATACGCCACTTTATTGTTCTTAAAAAAGTGCCTTAAGAACGTTTTTACAGAATTTTATTATTTCGCGAAATAAAAAGTTATGAGCATTTTTCAAAATGGTAAAAAAATCAAAAAGACCCCGTAGCGTCGTAGCAACCTGCTATATTTGCATTACATATGTTTTTTTTTAATTTCAGATACAGTAAACACGATCCCTAGAGGTCCAAAGGGTGAGGGGGCACATGACCAACGGCCTCAAGTTGATCCTCCCTGCCCCCTCTTGGGGAGATGCGTGAGCTAGACTGTCCCCAACTGTGGAGATTCTTCCAGACAGACTGCCCCTACATTCATGTACACCCTCTGCCTCACTCTGACGGTGAGTTGTAGTGTAGTTGTAATTTTTAAATTATTTTCAAAAGAAATATTAATTTGTAGTGTCCCTCCTCATTCTATATTCTACGTACCTCTTGGGGAAACTTTTTAGCACAAACATATTGTAATTTTCCTCTAGTTATAATGGTTCTAATTGGAACGTAATCTTAACTGGCAGAGAATTTCCCCAGAGAATTGTTGTACCTACCTCTGACGCATTAAGCGTTTATTAATATGGAAGTTAAAGCTAGCCAGCTTAACTAATTTGAGTCTAAAATATGTAAGCAAATTTGCAAGTTAATGACAGGTTTAAATAATTAACAAGAAATTTAGCGACTTGCGAATATTCAGTCAAGATAAAATAGTGTAAGGGTGTTATCAAAAATACTTGTAAAAAAGTAAAGTGTTTTAAGTTAACGCTTCCTTTTTGCTGCTGACTCTTGTTCAAATCATAAAACAACTATATTGGAACCGGACAGCCGAAGTGAACACAATCTCAACCGAAGCATTTGAAGTTACCAAACGAGTAAGACAAAAAAATATTCAAGATTGTTCTCGAAAATGAATCCAGGGATATTAAGGTCAATGGAAAGCCTTGTAACGTTTTTAGTTCGTTACATGTCTTTTTTATATATAATATATGATGTCTGGCCTATCATCACCGGATTCCCTCTCGTTCAGGCCGGATAGTTTATTTGACGCGTAATTTTTACGTTCCCTAGTCGCCAACCCTGTTATCGTTCGACACAACCCTGTTATTGCTCTGAGGAGGCGCTGTCAACATCGCTTCTGTCAACTGTCTCCGGGCTTAACCTCACTTTGTTTTGACGCTCTGTTGTATCCCAGCTTTTGGAAATAGTGATTATTTAAGTCTTGCTGTATAATTTGAATCAGCTGCTATTTCGAGGCTACAGGGTAGAGTTACGGATGTCCCAACTTGTATTTGTGTTTTGCTGGCACGTTGGCGTCCCTTTTCTTTTGTCCTCCAGAATGTCACATGGAAGAAAGGACATGTTGTTTATTATTTATTGAGTCCTCGGAAGTATTTCGAGGGTCCAAGGTACGGACTGTGTCCAAGGTACGGACTGTGTCCAAGGTACGGACTATTTCCAAGATACGGACTGTGTCCAAGGTACGGACTATTTCCAAGGTACGGACTATTTCCAAGGTACGGACTGTGTCCAAGGTAGTGTCTTGTGTACGGACATTATCTTATGTACGGATGTCCTGTGTCCCCAGTAAGAACGATTTTTTCTTACATATAAGTGCCACAGCGTGGATGTAGCTTGAATCCCATGCTTCGTTCCCAGCTGTAAGCTAGTTAGTTACGGCTGTACCGATTTATGGTGTCTCATGCTGGCCCCTTTGGTTGTGTTGGATGGCTGAGTACAGAGATGCGAGACCACCTCACGCTGCTACTGTTTGAAGCAAGATTACATAAAGAACAGCTAAGTGTAGATTTACGTTCTAGTTTTTATGTTTTAGATTTTCTATATTTTCAGTCTTAAACAGTAACATACAGTTTAAATAATATCGTACAGACTATATTTAGTGGTTAGATTATTAAGAACATTTATGCCGATTCAGTAGTTACAATGTGATTTAGATTTTAGGTTTCATTATATTACGCCTTGTAATAGTATTACTTTCTATAGATATTATTATTGCGCTATATTAACAGATGAATAACGAGACATAGATTCTAGAATCTACAGGTTGCAACACATCAGATTTAACACCACATAAAATTTAACAATTTAAATAAAGTAATGCTACTTTTCTTATATTTTCTATAACGTTACACGCATTATATTTTTTCATAGTCTTTTCATAGAACATATGTAATATTATTTACATACATAGTTTTACTCAACAAATAACAACTATAATAATTATTAAAATTGTACAATGCTATTTACCATCAGAATTCATCATGAATAAATATAGTCATTAGTTTTAAGTAATATACAACTGTGGTATTTTCTTTCTCTGTACATGCCTGGCGCCCAATATCTATTTTTTTGTTTATTGTTCTTAATTAGTTTTCTTTCCAGTGAAATACCTTATCCACGACTGCTCTCCGATGAAAAGCTGCCGTTCGCAGTGGTAGTTGTTTAAAAAACGCTACAGCCTTCTTTTGGAAATAACCTTGGAATATATATCTTCTTCCTGTGCCTTGTGCTTAGCCGCACGTTGGCGATTGTCTGTACTCTTCATACAATGTGTAGAGTGCCGTTTTCGGCTCTTCGAAATGTGGTGGCTGGGTCGCTGATGTTACACCAATCCCGTATGTTTCTTAGCCAGGAATGTTGTTTTCTTCCTGCGCCTCGCCGTCCCTCTATTTTTCCTTGTAGAATCAGCTTAGGAATGTAATATTTGTCTCCTCTAAGGATATGGCCGAGGTATGAGACTGTCCTTTCTTTAACTATATTAAGCATTTCTCGTTCATAGCCTGCAGTTCTTAAAACTTCTTGGTTGGTTGCATGTGCGGTCCATTTCACACGTAAGAGTCTCCGGAGAGTCCACATTTCGAAAGCCTCGATGCGGTTCAGGGTTCTAGCCTTGAGTGATCAGGTTTCTGCGCCGTATAGTAAGATGGGCCATATGTAGCATTTCACTACCCGTAGTCTAAGGGTTAGCGGGAGACTGCGTGCTAATAGGAAGTTTTTAAGTTTAAAAAATGTCGACTTTGCATAATTCGTTCTAAGTTTAACTTCTTCATCGCAGTCCCATCGTTCATTGATCATGGCACCCAGATATTTATTTAAATCGTGGAACTCGCTCTATAATATTTCCATCCACGGTCAATGCGGTGTTGATTGTAGGCTGGCGTCCTATTACCATAAGTTTGGTCTGGGCAGCGTTGATTTTAAGACCGAAACGATTTCCCATGTCCCCTATCTTATTTATTATTTGCTGGAGATCCTCTAAATTTCGTGCTAGTATTGCGGTATCATCTGCATATCTTATATTGTTAATTGGAACTCCGTTAATCTTAATTCCTCCACTTTCTCCTTCCAGGGCCATTTGAAATATTTTTTCGACGTGTAAATTAAAAAGTATTGGTGACAGTATACAGCCCTGGCGGACTCCTTGACAGACATTGAAGGTGTCTGTGGATAAATTTTTGTTAACTCTTATCTCTGCGGTTTGGTTCCAATATAGTTCCTGTATGATTCTAATGTCTTTGGCATCTATTCCTATCTCGAGCAGTCTGTTTAGGAGAATATCGTATTTAACGTTGTCGAAAGCCTTCTGATAATCTATGAAGCACACAAAGACATCTTGGCGTTGAATTGGAATATACAGATTGTTAACTGGACAGTTACTTATAGGGGAACAGAATGGCAACACTGCCTATTGAGAACGCATGCACTTATTATAGGGTCTTCTGCCGACTCGTCCGGTCGCGTCCCCAGCGCAGCGGGCCGAGGTTGCCACATTTCAACCATAAAGGTCTTGCCGCGAGTAATAAACAAATTAACAACCGGTATATAATAAATAAAAATTGGAGAACCATTTTAATTCTAACCACTCCAAATATGTCCTTTTAGCACTAGTTAAAATAACTATTTTATGAACAGATATAAAAAGTTTTCGTACACCGATTCGGGGGTTAATCCGAGGAAATTTGGCAACAGAGCGGAAAACCGACGAGGAAATTTCGGAAAATTGGGTAGCGTTGCTGCACACATCCACTCGAGGGAAATTGGAAAATTTAATCACTCGATAATAAATGGGTTTTATTGGAAGTTCACCGAATTAAGGCTGGATATAATACCAATCATATTGTTCTTAAATTTTCTTTTTTTATCGTTTATTGCTTCGTTATTTTGATGCTTTGACTCATGAGGTACAAGTTTTTTTTTATTATACAGGGTTGCTTGAATTGTATTCTGCAATTAGAAATAAGTAAAAAAGTTCGTTTTATGATTTGGCATTAAAAATACATATGAATTAAAATTTTCACCCTTTTTCTATCAACCCCTATTTTTTAATAATTGTTCGTAGTAATTAGTAGTTTTTTTTAAATTTTTTGTTACCATACTCCTCCGAAACGGCTTAACCGAAAAGTGGCTTACCCCTATAACTTTTATATTTTTTCAGTTAAATAAACGAAATTTGGTATGTTAGTATATGACATAAATTAGGATTGATTGACGTATTCAATTGTTTTCGGTCACTTCCTGTTTCACCGGAAATTACTACAACTTTTGATTTTTAAATCGCACCCTCGGTATTTTTTTACTTTATACGATAGAAAATGATACTCTGTATAGAATGACATATCATATGTCAATTTTTGATTTTTTCGCATGTGGTTTGTGTGAAAATGTAACATGTGGTTTATAACGATAATTTGTGTCGAAATATTAAGTGTGTGGTATCAAATTATTCGTAAATAATCCTTTTTCCAAATAAGCTAATGAGCCACTAATGGCTGGTAGATTTCGGTAAAAGGAATATATTTTCTCTTTACCGTTTTTCACATAAGTCCAAAATAACCAAGTTATTTTACTTTGAAAATTTCCAAAAAAATATATTTTTGTTTAAATTTTGAGAACCACCTGATTTTTTGGGGTCTTCTTTTTTATAAATTTAATCTACTACCTATGTTGCCATATTATCAGGAAATTATGGTTTTTAACTAAAAACTAAAAAAAAAACAATTTCAATTTTTTCCCTCACCTCATAGTCGTCTTTCTCGGGACCCCTAAAAATATTTGAATTTATTCAAGACTCATCCTGTATAAAGATTAATGTCGTTGAAAATCAGAAAAGAACCAAACTTCCTAACTTAAAAATAACTCTTTTAAAGAGATTAATATTTGAACTATCCAGAGATCAAGACGTTATTGGCAATTTAAAATAGCTTTTGCAAAAGAAAGAATAGGAGAGCGTCTCAAATATTATATCTATAGAACGGTTATATTAGTCCTTTAAAGAGGACGGGCTGGCTCAGCTGGCTTGAAAATCGCCCCGAACTGAAATCCATCTAATAAA